TACTGTGGTTCGAGTCCCAGACTCGGTGGCTTAAACTCACGCCGGGCACGTGTGCGTGTGTGCCCAAGATCCCGAGAGGAGAATGGAGGGGAAGGGATTGCGGTGTGACCATCCCCCCTGGGAGGTGAGTTCTCGCTTTCTGTCTCTCTGCCTCTCTCTGTCTGGCAAGGACACATGCCCTATGGCAAAAAAAAATAAGATTGTATATGCCCTGTGGTTCTGGCTATGCACAATGCACTCGGAATCAAAGAGAAAGTGAGCAGATATGCACAGTATGTCAGGTGTAGGAGACAGTGTAGGAGACGGCTGACGTACTCCCTCACAGTCCTGCCCCACAAGTCTGGGGTCCACTCTGAGACCACTACGCCCTGCAGTCCTCACCCCTCAAACTCTCTCGTCCTTCCCCTCATTCTCAGCTGGCAACTTCACCCTTCACCGAGAAAGCAAGAGGCGAACCCAGTCATGCCCTCGCCTCCCACCTCCCCACGCCTCGCTCCTGCCTTCCCTCAGGACAGGGGAGGACGGTCTCTGTTTTTTTCCTAAGCCAGTTCCCACCCCTGGATCTCTCCCCACCTCCTCCCCTGCCCTCCTCCTCTCTCCTGCCTCCTGCATGCGCCTCTATCTCTATCTCCCATTCGCCTTTTTTTTTTTCAGTTTTGAAAAAATTTTTTATTTATGGGGCTGGCAAGTGGCGTGGTAGTTAAGGCACTGGACTCCCACATGGCTGACTGCAGTTTGAGTCCTGGACCCAGCAATTTACTTTCTCACTTTCCCTCTCTCTGGTCAAATTAAAATAATAATAAATAAAAGCAAACAAATAAGTATTTAAAAGTATTTTATTTGTTATTACTATTTTTAAAAGTTTGCTATAGGGCACGTGTACTCACCAAAAAGAGATGAGAGAGAGAGTGCGAAAGTGAGAAAGCAAGCTACTAGGTCTAGAACTCGAACTGCAGTTGGCCATATGAGAACCCAGTGCCTTAACCGCCACACCAGCTGCTGGCCCCTTTTGTAAAGTCTCTATTTACAGAGCTGACAGGTGGTGTGGTGGTTAAGGGTGCTGGATTCCCACATGGTGGACTGCGATTTGAGTCCTGGGCCTGGAAGCTTTGCTCTCTCACTTTCCTTCTCTCTGTCTCCCTCGTTCTCACTCACTCTATCTCTCCTTGGTCAAATTGAAAGAAAGAGAAAAAGAAAGAAAGAAAAAAAGAAAGAGAGAGAGAGAGAAAGAGAGAAAGGGAGAAAGAGAGAGAAAGAAAGAGAAAGAAAGAGAGAAAGAGAGAAAGAAAAAGAAAGAAAGAAAGAAAGAAAGAAAGAAAGAAAGAAAGAAAGAAAGAAAAAGAAAGAGTCAGTCTTTAAAAAAAAAAAAAGAAAGAATTATTTTATTTGGGACCAGCAGTTGTTGTAATGGCTATGTCTATGTCGCTAGGCTCCCATGTAACATGTCAACCATGGTTCGAGTCCTGGATGTGGTGACTTAAACTCATGCCGGGTACATGTGTGTGTGTTCCCAGGATCTTGAGAGGAGAATGGAGGAAAGGGGATTGTGGTGTGGCCATCCCCACTGCGGGGTGATTTCTCACTTTTTGCCTTCTCTTTGTCTTTCTGGTGAGTGCACACATCCTATAGCAAAAACCTCTCAAAAAAAAAAAAAAAGAATTATTTTATTTAACTTTATTTATTGATTTATTCATTTATTTATTTTAACTTGACCAGAGAGGGACAGAGTGAGAGAGAGAGGGGAAAAGTGAGAAACCAAGCCGCCAGGTCTGGGATTTGAACCATGGTCGGCCATGTAGGAGTCCAGCACCCCTAACCACCATGCCACCTGATGGCCCCAAATAAAGGAATTCTTAAAAAAAGTTTCTATTTATTTTATTCACAATAGAGAACACACACGTGTATGTGTGTGTGTGAGAGAGAGAGAGATCCTTGACAGAATTTTATCATCGTGCTATCTCCCTTCCGCAGCCCTCCAGCCATCAGGGTCCGGGGTGCTCAGCCCTAGGCTGATCTGGGGATCCAAACCCACATTGGCCTGTGGCTTCCAGCACAGCAGTTAATTTCCTACCAACTGTACCAGAAGGCTGGACCCTATTCATTCTCAAATCTACTACCTGTGGCCTCTGTCCCCATCACCTCTGCTCCATCAAGGCCCCGGTAGCCTCCATGTTGCCCTATACAGAGAGCACTTCTCTGCTCTCCTCTCCCTCCAGCTTTTCTGCAGCTTGACTGCCTCGCCCGCCTCCTCCCTCCCTATTCTACTGCTCTGGCTCACCAACACCTCCTACCTGCTGTCCACTCTCTGTCATTTGTGGCTGGGTGGCTTCTCTAGCCCACTTTCTAGAATCAGGAATTTTTTTCTTTCTCCCACCCCATAAAAATAGTTGGGACCAGCAAATGGCATAATGGTTATGTCACTAGACTCCCACATAGTCAACCATAGTTCAGTTTCCAGACCTGGTGGCTTAAAACTCATGCCAGGCACATGTGCATGCATGTGTGCCCAAAACTCCAAGAGGAGAATGGAGGAGAATGGATTATGGCATGGCCATTCCCTCTCAGGGGTGATTTCTAACTTTCTGTCTCTCTGTCTCTCTGACAAGTGCCTGCGTCCTATAGTAAAAATGTCTCTCTAAAACAAACAAACAAAACAACCAAGTCTTTTTTTTTTTTTAAGTTTATTTCTTTCTCCCTTGAGGGAGTGAGAGAAAGGGAGGCATCCTCATCCCCATCAGGGTCTTCATGCTGCAATCCTGGTTCTTGACCAGCAATCCTGGTTCTCTTCTCGGAATATGCTCTCTCCTGTGTGACCTCAGATGGTCCTGTGGATTTAATAGTCATTTAAATACAGATGTTTCATTGTGGCTCCAGATTCAGCAGCTACCCTGGGCCCCACACTCACACATCAATCGCCTGTTTGAGTTCCTTACTTAGATGTCTCCGTGGACATCAAACTGAATGTGTCCAAAAATAATTCGTTTCCTGGGGCCAGCAAGTGGCTTGGTGGTTAAGGGTGCTAGACTCCCACATGGCTGACTGCGGTTCGAGTCCTGGACCTGGTGCCTTTCTCTCTCTCTCTCTCTGCCTCTCTGGTCAAATTGAAATAAATGAATGAATGAATAAATAAAGTTAAATAAAATAATTTTTTAAAAAAAGAATTTGTTTCCTTTCCAAACCTGGCCTCTTCACCTGCCCACCTCTAAGTCTGTCTTTCCTGCCTTGTTCAATGGCGTCATCATTCATCCTGTAACAAAGTCAGAAATTGAGGAGCTGAACTGGACTTTGTTTCTCTGATCCCTCACTTTTTTTTTTTTTTTTGAGAGAGATTTTTGCTATAGGGTGCATGTGCTCTCTGGAGATACAGAGAAAGAGAGAAAGAGAGAAATCATCCCCTAGGGGGATGGTCACACCACAATCCCTTCTTCTCTATTCTCCTCTTGGGATTTTGGGCACGAGTTCAACATGCACCCAGTGTGAATTTAAGCCACCGGGTCTAGGACTCAAACTACAGGCAACTATGTGGGCATTCTGCGATATAACCATTATGACACCTGATGGTCCTGATCCATTATTTCTAACCAAGGGTACTGGACTCTTCAAAGATTTCACGAACAGAACAAGTTTTAAGACTATCCTTGGGACCAGTAGATGGCGTAATGGTTACATCGCTGGATTCCCACATGGCAAACCCCAGTTAGAATACTGGATGGGGAGGGAAACCACCAGTTGGCGTAATGGCTATGTTGCTGGACTCCCACGTAGTCAACTGCGGTTCGGGTCCCGGACCTGTTGGCTTAAACTCAGGCTGGGTGCATGTGCGTGCATGCTCAAGATCCCAAGGGGAGAATGGAGGAGAAGGGATTGCGGGGTGGCTATCCTCACTTTCTGTCTCTATCTTTCTGGCTAGCTCATGCACCCTGTAGCAAAAACCTCTCAAAACAAACAAACAAAAAACCACTCTCTGAAAAAAAGAAAGACTATCCTCTTTTTACTGTCTCCATTGCTTCCACCCTCATTCAAATCACCATGTTCTCTCAGGGACTGGTTCAATACCCCTTCTCCCTCCACCACCCAACACGTTCCAGCCGTTCACCCTGCTCTGCTGTTTCCTCCTATGCCTGCAATTCTCTTCCCCTGGCTCTTTGAATGTATCAATTTGAATACCACCTCCTCAGAGAGGCCTCCATGACTATCCTATTTAAAGTAGGTTTCCCTATCAGTTCCTCTAATGTTCTCCTCAGCTAGATGTTTATTCAGTGAAATAAATCCCTTGCTTTAGTTTTAAAAAGTTACTTCTTTTTGGAAGCCTTCCCGGAGTTAGTCTCCTTGCAGTTTCCATCATGTTGATCAATTCAGCAGCTTGAATGAGAGAAATCAAACTGTTTCTCCACTCGGGTAATAGGCACCTTCAAGTTTTACAATCTGTTATATAATGCTTCCATCATTTGCTGTGTCATTCTTTCTTGAGGAGAGCTGTGTACAGCACACACTGGGGGCTTGAGTGGGGCAGTTTACATCCCCAGAGGGCAGTACCACAACTTCTGGTGCTGGGTGGCCCTGGGTGGCCCTGGGTTTAAATCAGTCCCAGTTGTGCCATTCCCAGTCTTATGACTTTGGTCATGCATTCCAGTTACCTGCTGCTATGTAACAAACGATCCCAAAACTTAATGGCTTAAAACAATAATATTTATTTTTGGAGTTTGGGCAGAGTGAGTGAGAAAGCTTATTTCTGCACTGCTTCTCAGCTGGGGTGGCTCTGAGGCTGGGGCCCGAATTACCTAAGGCTCACTCTGTCATGTGGCAGGCGGTTGGAGGGGACCAGAGCTGGAGTTGCTGCTTGGAACACCTTCACGTGGCCTCTCTGTGAGGCCTGGATCCTAAGGCAAATGGCCTGAAAGGGAGAGAGAGAGAGAAGAAAGTGGACAGAAGCCTTACTACATTTTGTGACCTAACCTGGGAGAGTGTCACTTCTGCTGTACTGTACTGTTGGTTGAGAAGGACACAACGATGTACTCATTAGCAAACCAGACCCTGCTGCTCAGCTGGAGGAATGTTGGTGCCACGTTGTAAGAAGAGCTATAGGGAAGAGGTGTGTATTGGAGTGCTGTCTTTGGAAAATGTGATCAGCCACAAAAACTATCCTTTTTAAAAAATAAACTATTTTCTTCTCTTATGAGTGTGAAAGAGAGGGAGAGAGAGGTGCACCACAACAGGGTCCCTATGCTATGATCCACCCTTGACCCAGCCAGCCCTGGGTCATAGGCACATGCTAGCCCTCGGGAGGTCTAGATACGAATCTGAACCTTCCCATGTGGGTTGGCCTTGTGGCTCATTGCCTCACAGCTGCGCCCCCTTCCAGCCCCTTACGAGAAGAATCTTAAGCTTTCTGAGATGCTTCACTGGAGTGCCAAGCACAGAGCCTGGCATATGACAAATCTCTGTGGTCAGCTAGCGACCAGGCTTCCTAGCAGCTGAGGACGGCCTCCCTGACTGCATGTGGCCAGTTCTGCACCTCCCACCGGGTCTCACCTCTTTTAGTAACCCTTGACTGAACCAATCCTGAGTCCAAAGGTTTACCTTTCAGCCCCAGCTGACCCTGGGTCTCTCCCACCAGGGCCTTGCTGTTCCTGAGGCTGCCTTAGGGTATGATGTGAAGTCTTGGGTCCTCAAATTCAAAGACCCTCAGAGCAGGAAGGGCTCTCAGCCCCTTGCTTGGCCAGGAGTGTGGGGGCCCAGAGAAGATGGGTAGGACAGCCAGGACTCAGGTCTGTTCCAAGTGCGGGCTGCAAGTCGCTCCACTCTCGGGACTGCCGGTGTGGCTGAGCCAGCTGCCGTGTCCCTGCATAGACCCACCATCTCCAAGTCCACACTCTGCGCAGAAGAAAGTGAGGCACAGACAGGGGAGCCATTTCTTTCTTTCTTTTTTTAGAATTCTTTATTTCATGTTATTTATTATTATTTTAAAATTTGCACGTGCACTCACCAGAGAGAGACAAACAGAGAGAGGGAGAAAAAGTGAGAAAGCAACAGGGGCTTGAACCACAGTTGGCCATGTGGGAGTTCAGCTCCCCTAACCACCAGGCCACCTGCCAGCCCCTGTGGAGAGCAATTTTGAAGAGCTGCTCAGCCTCTCTCCGTGTTGGGTTGGAATCAGCCTGTAAGAACTGGACCATCAGACGGCAGAACCCTGTTTCCTCAGACCAGACCATGTAGGGACCCTGGGTCCAGAAAGTGGGAAGGCCTGCCATGGTCCCTCATCACAGCCCACATCGCTGTCCAGCCCCTTTGCCCCCATACACCCTGTTTGTGATGAATCTTTGCCTTTTTTTTTTTGTTTTTTTTTGGTCATAGACACCTGCGCTATCCAGAGAGGAGAGAGACAGAGAGATTCAGAGAGAGAGAAAGTGAGAGAACTCATCCCCCAGGAGAGACGGCCACCCCACAATCCCTTCTCTTTCCTTCTCCCCTTGGGATTTTGGGCGCGCACGCGCACACGTACCAGGCATGATTTACAAGGCTCACGTCTGAGACTGGAGCCACCGCGGGCCATGTGAGAGTCCAACATCTTAACGACTACGCCACCTGCCGGCGGTGATGAGTCCTCTGTGGCCCATCTCCCGGATGCATGTACTCTGTGGGTCAGAAACAAGCTCTCCAGTGTCCCGCAGTGTCTTACCTGGCACCTGTGCGAGCAGGGGCTGGGTCAGTGAGGGTGTGTGCGGAGCGGGGGCTGGTGCCTTGGGGGTGGGGGGATTATCCACCTGGAACTGAGAGAGTCACTGCTCAAGTGAGAGGGGACACCCCAGGGGTGGGTGTCTTCGCTGCGTGTGTGTGTGGAGGGGGGGGAGACGAAGAAGTGGACCTGGTGCCAACTGGTTGTCAAGGGCAGGCTTTGAAGAGGTGAAGAAAGAGGATGGGAAAAGAAAGACAGGAGAGAGGAGAAAAAGGAGGAGGACGCAAAGGAGAGGGAGAGCGAGTACTGGAGGAAGCAGAGGCGGCAGAGGGGTAAGCAGCCCTGCCCTCGGGGCAGCCAGAGAGGCAGCCTCTGCCCTGCTCAGGTGGGTCAGGGGTGGGGCCGCAGCGGGGCGCGGGGGCGGGGAAGGTGTGACAGACAGCGGGATGTCGACTCGCCTGGAGCCAGGCGGACAGCCCGGGAAGGAAAGAAACACGCCCACCGGCGCCGGGGCTCCGGAGCTGCTCCTCCTGGAGACGTGGGGCTCGGAGCAAACGTCCCCAGCTAGTGCCAGCCCCCACTGGAGCCAAAACCCACTCCTAAAGCATTCGCTGGTGTGACATCTCATAACGGGTCGCCTCCATGTTAGCTGTGTAGCGCCTGCCACCGAGGTGGGAGGGGACGGGAGTATGCCCGGGACCACAGCGGGTCGCGGTGTGCGGAGCCTGGCAGACACCCGGCTCCACAGTCCCTTCCCCAGTGGGAGGGGAACGAGGCAGAAGCGGCCCGAGCACGCCCAGGACGTGTGAGGTTTGGGTTAATCGCGTGTCCCCTCCCGCCCCGGCTTCAGTGTACGCGTCTGGAAGATGGGATCATCGGTCTTGCTTTGCAAGGTTAGGGGGGCGGAGTTCGCGCACGCTCCGCGCAGGGCTAGGGGCGAGGTGCCGGGGTGTGCATGGATACTGCCTCCTGCGTTCTGAGGTCCGTCCGGCCTCTGCCCGGGAATCCCCGCGGTGGCCGCTCGCGCGGACCCTGCTGGGACACTGGGCGCCGGGGTGCCGTGGCGGGGTGCGCTCCCCCGGCCAGAGGAAGAGGG